AAAATAGCTTAGTAATTATGTATTTATTTTAATTAGTTATACTTTATAGCATATAATTTTATTTTTTTGTTACTTATTTCCAAATGAATTTGCTACATACTGTTTCAGGTCATTCTTCCCAAAAATTGAAAACCTTAACATTTAAAGTAGATGTACCAATTCTCACACTTGACATTTATACTATTGATTCCTGACCGCGTCATTTACAACTTCATCAAAATTAGGTCACAAAACCGGTTCCTAGCTCCACTAATTCGCTATACAAAAAAATTAACCTTGAATTGAGTGAGTTATATAGATTCGTTGCACGAAAATCTCTACCCTGTTGCACACATCTAGGCGATGGTATAAGACCGTTCAATCTAAGCAATTAATGGTTGGTACTCAATGAAGACATCACTGACATAAAGTTAAATTTTGAGAAACTCCTACACGATAACGTTGTGTACGTTAATTAGAAACTTTAATGGGCATATATCGTGCCTTAAATACGACACGCAGTTTCGTACCAAATATGGTCAAGGGTGTTTGTTCTTAGCAGATATTATATTCCAATGAATTCACCGTTTTCTATGACAAATTATAATAAATCGATTGACTCCGTTCCACTTCGGCACATTAATATTTACGGCCGTAATTCATCGACCTACTTCCAAAATCCAATAAAATTGATGAGTACAAGTTGTGAATACAACGAACTGTACATGACCCCGAAAATAAGGGCAAGTATGTGTTTGTTTCGAAGCAATCGTCTTCAACATCAATCATCAGCGTAGTCAGCCGAACGATTGCTTCCAGCGCTGATTTATTACATCCAAATTTAATAAAAAGGCACTGGCTATTTTGACAGTTTCAATTAATTGAAAGTTCGGAGAAGCAAAACTTCTGTGCTTGTGCAAAAACTTTCCTGAATCATTCACAAGTGCACGTTTCCTTTTCTGAGGAGTGCAAGGATCAATGAAACCCAAAACAGTTCTCGCATAAAAGAATAAAAAGTAGAAACCCTGTTCGGTCTATAATCAATGCCTAGTACAATAAAATAAATATTAAACCACCAAATCGATACGTTTAAATGGGTTAGTGTGTTTCCTCGTTTATAATTTATGTCATGACCCCTTAGCATAACAAATTACACACAGGTCACTGACTGTAACAAGGCAATTTTTATAATAATTAATTATTATTCAAGAGAACCAACCCAAATCAAAGACCTCAGTCCGATTTATTAAATAATGAGTCTATGGGAACTTTGGTGAGGGCAAGGACCGTTTTCAAGTTTGTAGTATTCTCGTAAAGATACGAATTTATATTATTCATTAAACAAAATGTTTACGGGTGAAATCAATACTTTGTTATTATATCAGTGAGCGGTTTCAATATAAGTACGTCATAAAGGAAGGATTCATAAATTTCGCAAGAGAGCAAAAGGAAAAGCGCAATAACAGAAACGCGGTTTGATGTTCTGAGAGAATATTATCATGTCGCGTTGGAGTTCGTCGTCTTCCTTTCCTTTTATGACAAATTTTTCTGCAATGGGAACGTACCTTGTTGAGTCCAATTTTCGTGCAACTTATTCTTTATTACTCGCATGGAAATATATTACCAAAAATTAAGGTATATGCTCAGTTTTTAGTTTTTTACCCCAAGTCAAGCTGCTATTATATTTTAATTGGTTTGCGTAGGATTCATGCTGAAAGTAAGAGCTTTGAATAAACAAAGGTAAGAGCACAGGTAGGCAGTTACACGATGTTGCATTGTATTCTGTATCATACTATTTTTTTGTTGTTGCTATGAACAAAACTGACTTGTAAAGTATTAATTACATTATAATACGATTCTTAATTAACAAGACTGAACAAAAAATGCAATAGGGTTCATTGCTCCAAAGATGAGGAATTAAAATTCTTATAGCAAGGGTTTTCTTGGCACACTAGTTTAGCCACTATTTGTATTCGTATAAATTATTCTTTTATGCCGTGCTTAAAACCATCCCTTGCACAATGTACGGTTGTCCTACAGATAGGTACTACATAACTAATATTTAGTATTAATTATGTACTTGGCAAATAACTGTGGGGCATGTTCCCACCTATTACCGTTCACAAAAGATCGTGAAGAGGGCAGTGCCAGTCTCTACATAAGCTTTATTTACCTCAAAAGTACGTTAAAAAAAACCGCCGAACTACATCCCAACGGTCAAGTAAACGTTCGAACAAAATAATGCAATCTCAAACCTGAGTTCTAATCGCCATTACTATCCCGAACACTTCTCCAAAGTAAAAACAAGCGTAATCGTACTACGAAACTCGAAGCTCGCTTACTTACGGCCTACGGGGTCGTAATCCTTCGGCAATCGCGGGATTTTTTGTGATCGCAAGGACGCAAGCACTGTCTTAATAATGAACCTTTTTTTAATAATCGTCCTTTATCAAAAATATTGCATGTTGTATATGGTTCGAGAAGAAACAGTACACTATTGCACGAAGGATGCTCACAATTAGTAGAAGAGCTCGAGAATCACAATTTCTCTTTATTGGAAAGTAAAGGAACTCGCGAGAAACTGCTTTCATTTGAATGCGGTAAACTCCCTTTTTCATTTTGGGTGTATATTTTTTTTGTATTTGTTACATTAGTGAAAAGTATCACCTCTAATTGTACTATAATGAAGGATGGAATAATTATTTGTATACTTAATTGGATAAATGAAAGTTCTTTGTCTTCTATTTAAAGTGTCGCTTTTCGTCTCGTAGTGATCAAAAATGCAATGAAACACGTTTTAATAAGTTGGTTACCTTAAAATGTACGTTCTCGTTCTTACACCATATAATATCTTATAGTCGGGATACCGTTTTTCATATAGCTTTTCGAATTTGCGAGGTAGAAATTAAGCCATTGTTAGTTGTTCCTGAACATAATTCCGCACATTGTGGCTGGCTAATAAGAAATAATCGTTTTAAATCAAAAAATTTAAATACTCCAAGTCAATTCGGTAGTGTTGAAGGGTAACAAAGTGTTAAATTGCAATATACCACTTGAGACGCATCACTGAAAAGCTGTTAGGTGATTTTCATTGGCACCATAATAGCTATTAATGATACAAGTTTGATATGAACATCATAATGAAACGCGTGTAGCGTTAAAACGACTGTTTTGAAAAGGGCGAAAGTAATAAGAAGAGAAGATTGTGCAGCAAAATAAACGAACGAAATAGAACCAAAGAAGGATTGAATTATAAGTTACGTTTAGTATTGGTGCACATATACCTGGTTGCGGCAAATGATTACTAAGTGCTATGACATACTATGCTGAAAACCGCATGCGGGAAACCGCATGCCGGAAAATAAAAAACCGCGCCATGTATAATTAAATGCATAAAGACATACTACGTGCGTTTTGCGGTCGCCGCATATAAACATTTAATTATACATGGCGCGGTTTTTTATTTTCCAGCATGCGGTTTCCCGCATGCGGTTTTCAGCATAGTATGTCATAGCACTAATGCGAAGATTTTAGAAGAGCGGCGCAGCGTAGTTTGTTGATCTCCCTGTATCATCCTGTATACGGGGTGGCACAACGAAAACGAAACAGACCAAATAACTCGCAAAGAGATAGTTTTTGGAAAAACGGCAGAAACAACGTCGATTTTGGTTGGAAAGGGGACATCTTTTACTTACCAATTTGCACCCCCGCTGTCAGCTCCCTAAGCGGCCTTTCAATAATTTTAAATTTGATGTTGGGCCGAGCGACACATCATTGGAAACGGCTCTTAATTTCCTAAACGACTATGGTTTAGTTTTTAAATTCGAGCGACTATTTTGGAAGATACACTTGACTGTAGGGTTCAGGTGAATACAACAAACTATGTAACATAAGTACGTCTGGTTCACTGAAATAAAATCGTATCAGTATTTTATCAGGAGTACCTAAAAACCTCTTCCAACCAAAATCGCCGTGTTTTTGGTTTTTTCCAAAAACTATTTCCTTACCAGTTATTCAGTCTGTTGCGTTTTCATTGTGCCACCATGTATAAGAGGCCCATGCATCGCCACGAGATCTCGGTTATCAGTCATAAAATGTTGGTTGAGGAATAGTTGAAAAATTTAAGTTCAAATCTGAAAATAGAAGACATTTTAGACTAACTCATTTGGTTTTGTTATCAGATGTATACAATTAGTTGGCAGAATAACATCCACCTTAAATTTTCTTAGGGCGGCAAACATTTTTGGATTACGGGATCATTGGATTTGATCCATTTCCAATAGGGTTGTTACATCTGTCAACTGTCCAAAGTTTGAATCGAATCGATCCAAGCGTTTGCCAGTTATTGTGTTCACAGGCAGACAGACACCACAGACTCCCTTAAAAAGCTTTGCATCGCTTTCCGCTGGCGCTTAATAAATAAGTTTTGTTCTATTCGTATAAGAACTATTCTAAAAACAGTGTATTTATTTTTAAATTCGCTGTAAATGAAGCAATTCAATTCGTTAGCGTTAATTGAAGCAGTCGAATTAAATTAGAAATAAACGTCGAAACCCACCGGTGTATATGCAACATGTCTCTGACATCGATCTTGAAATAATCCCACCGAAAATACGCATTCAAGCTATACTAAAATACACTGAGAAATTACAACCTTCCAAGAAAGTTTGATCTCACTTTTACTAACATAAACCATGATATAAAGAAGCAAAAAGGGCTAGTAAACGATGTGCACGTTAAAGGCGTACGCGAAAACAATAAAACTTTATTTACACGTGAGCAAAAAGCCTCAAATTAACATTTTACTTCCTTTCATATACTTTGCGGTAACAATTGTTAAAAGCTTTGAAGTGAGCTTTGAACAAGCTTAATAGAGTAAAATGGTGGCTACCTCTATTATGTTATGCCGTTATAGTCAACGTCTGTGCGGTTGCAAAGTGAAAAGGGGATTGTAAATATGATGCTTATTTACTCCTTCACTTTTATCATCTTATTTTCCAACTTGCGTTTTTTTGTTTCAGCGGATAGCAGTTTCCTATTAGCAAATGCTCAGATAGTGGATTTTCCTATAGTTTACTGCAACGAGGCCTTCTGCAAGATTTCGGGTTACAACAGGGCCGAAGTCATGCAAAAATCGTGTAGGTGCTGCTTTATGTTTGGGGAATTGACGGATAAGGACACGATAACAAGAATTGATCAATGCCTTGAACACCAACTCTACGATCAATTTGAAATACTTCTTTATAAAAAAAACAGTGAGTATCAATTCTGCATTCGCTTTAGTTACGTTTTACCGAAAATAATTTTGAACGTGTGTGTTTGAGATTGCTGTGTGTTCATTTTCATATAATTTGTTGTTTATCTAAGCACATGAACAGCATTTTCTTGCTTCATTCATTGTTATTGCTTGTTTTAATGAGTGATGTTCCGCTTAAAATTTATCTAAGATTTAACCGAGCAATGATCAATTTCTACTATCGCAAGCATCTGACATCCTCCTTCATATACGAATTCATCCTGCGGCGCGTGGAAAGCCATACATCACAAAATCCTTGTTGAAGCAAACTGAAGGTTGAAAGATAAATAATTCTGCAAAACTAAAAGCGGGTAAGTAACCAAGTTGAGATCTAAGGAGAACGCGAGTTAGAAAACTTATATAACTTTTATGTGGAACGGCATTAATGCGCATACATACACGCCCTTTTACACACACTTTACATTATCTTATTCAACTGTTTAAAAAACTACCATCAAGCACTTTTTAGTCCATCGAGTGTTTGAGAGAAACACACCGTTGCACTTAAGTTTAAATAATTTTAACACCATTGATCCTCGCAATGTTTTTGTTTCACAAATGATACATAAAAAGTAGAAGCTTTAGATTAAATTCTGATTAATGTGTTATAATAACTAACTACATGATTTATTTTGTATCTCTTGTAATGTATGTACGTCTGTCTGTGTGTTTGCATCGCCACGTCCGTGCGCACCGCGCATGTATACTGTATAGAAAACAAAGGTATGTAGAGCTTGCACCCTGTTAGTACGAAAGAACAGTGTAATGCTTAAGTAGGTCTTGTGTTTCATGTGTTAGAGATTGGTGGTGCTAGCATCGGTAATTACTAGAAACTTGTGAGTCGGTGTTAGATGCCAAGAGCGTTTGGGAACTTTTATCAAAGATAGTGCGTTTGAATATGTGGGTAATATAGAAAAACAGACCTTTTTTTGTTACTATAAAGATGATAACTAGTAAAAAATGTTCTTTTGAGATAGCCAAATAGGTTGGTGATTTGTAATGTGTTCTAAGTAGTACTGTACTGTACTGTAAACAAGGGAAAGATGCCATAATACCACTCAAAACTAGTAATTGCGACCACGCGGCAGCCATCTTGGACTTTTGCACCGGTGTCAGGTTTTCTTATAAACATCTAAAAAAATTAATTCGGTAACTGGTAACAAAGGGGGGATTTAAACAATTCGTTGCTCTTAAAACATCCCTAGCGCGTTATTTGTGTTATGGCACTTATAAAAAATAGCCAACACATCGTTGTGGTTAACGCGTTGTAAATGTTATTTGATCCAACCCTCTGAATGCTATAATCCTGTGAGATTATTTCCTGCATACCTACTTTAAAACAGGATGAAGAATGTTTTAACAAAATCAGCTTGTTTTGTTAAGTTTAGAAGGCTTTTTAAGGTCCTTTGAAGGCTCCGAGGCTGTAGGCGACTCTTAGGAGGTCTTAAAGGCTCATAGAAACTTTTAGGAACTCCAACTCCCTAATGACCTTAATAAATTTTAAAGACTATTAAAGGGTACAAAAGCGTAAAGTCTAAAGGGTTCATAAATGTTTTTTTTTAATTTCTTTTAAAATGCTGTGATGTCCATTAGAGCCATTAGAGGGTTCTCGAACAGAGTTAAAGACCGTTAAAGGCTTTGAAACTCTTAATATGCCTAGTAGTTGCTGTAACATGTTCTTAAGGCTTTTTTCTGTTTAAATCAAGGAATAACTCATCAAACTTCTAAAAGATTCTCTAGGTTTTCGATGATAACGTATTTATTTAGAGATCATCTTTTCTTTAGACATTGAACAATCGGGTATTTTAATAAAAATTAAGAGATTTTTCATCTTCTATGGTGCGTAGGCAAACATTTTCTGTTAGTTCCGAGCAGGTCCTCAAATACAGTAAAGCAATAACGTTTTTGGTGACACAATATAAAACGAAGAGTCCGGAGGAGTTCATTTGGACGGCAACACTTGCCGGACAATGAACGTAATCAAAACTTCGCGAAATATATGTTCTTTAAGTATTTAAGAACAAAATTGTCGAATATACGAGCTTTGAAACGAACATGTAAGCATGTGTGCCAACTACATCCGTAGGTAATTTGAAATGTGAAAAACTAATATTCAACAAAATTAATAAGTCTACCGGGAAGTAACTTTCTAAGTGAACTTTAAAATAACAGTGTCAAAGTCAATGAGTTCACCAAAATGAATGCGATACCAACGGTTTTGAATTGCCGCAAGAACGAAGAATTGCTTTGAGAAGGTTCATAACCAATTTTCTTTAAAAAGCTGTTAATCTTAATCAACTTAAAAAAACTGACCATTTTCCTTAAAGATATACAACGCTTAATTTGACATAAATAACTAAATATCACTATACCCCATAAACAAAAGGTTCTTGTCGATAACATGGTGATACCAAAATTAAGTACGAACGCCCTCCTTACATTGACAATAGCGTGGAATATTAACTAAAGGAGCTGTATATTAGAACCTTCTCGTCGGGTACCTTTTTCTTCTACAAATCTGTCAAGGAGCTTTCGAATTTGAACCTCCAAAGTTTATACAGGGTGCCCATTATGTATGGAATATAGTGTACATCTCGGTAAATATCGAATGCATACACAATTTTTCTATACGAAAGTTGTTTAACATTTTATTTCCCATAATACGGCAAATTAAAGAAATGCAATTTGCACCACTTTTTTGATGGTGGCTCCCAAACGTTTGATCTTTGGACGAAACTACAGGAATAACTCTAAACTGTTTCATAAAGAATGTCTGTATAACAAAACTATAAGACATCAAATAAATCTCTGTAGGTTTGGAGAAGCCTTAATCAGAAGCTGAACAAATTTTGTAGGATTTGTAGGCAACAAGAGCCCGTTGTTGCGTCAGGTGCATAGTGCATTTTTATAATTCATGCGAAACAACTAAAAGACAAAAGTATTCCACAAGTCTTCTAGTGCATTTTTTCAATTCTTACTAAGGAAATAGAAGGAAAAGTTATTGACAAAAAAATATAGATTTATAGAAAATGGAAAAAGCTTTCTTTCTTTCGGAGCTTTCTTAATTATGCAAAAGTAAAGGGCAAACATCTTAGACAAGTGTTGCAACATTCATAGGAAATAGTGCTCGTTATTACATCAGATGCATTATTCTAATTCACGCGAAACAAGTAGAATCTAAAAGCCCGTTAATTTTAGATTATAATATGAAGTATATTATAGAAAGCGCGTTCGGAAAGATGTTGTTTTATACCTATTGATAGGAACTGTAGTCAGCATTTCAAGCTTTGACAAAGAATTGTTGACTTTTTTATAGTCTTATCCAAAAAACGTTATTAGAAAAACCTTAGAACATTTGGGGGGATGTCCAAAAAATGTTTTCCTAGGAAAAACCTTTTCATTTTTTTATTAAAACGTTGACTCAACTCTAAAAGCTGTTAATCGTCGATTCTGCATTACTTACCCCATATTACTCGAACTTTCAGCCAGACATTCGATACAATATTTAAAATGGGGGTGGAAGTGCCGTAAAAGTCATTTACTCTTTACCACCTAAAACTTGACGTAGACTGTTGTTTAAAGAATTGAGCATACTAAGAATAGTAGACAGTTTAGAGATTTGTGGTCATACATATAAAAAAAGCATGTTTTTTAAAGACTCAAGACAGGTACAATACACGACATAGGGTGCTGTGTTAGGCTTCCATTTTTTATTTTATATACTCACCCCTGTAATGTATCAGAAACGTCAAATCTAACATGCAAGTATGCTGCCAAAAAACGTTATTTGGCGTTAGTTAGTATGAGACAAATAACGTTTTCTACAGATAACCTGCACGTCAAGTTTGACGTTAGTGATACATTACTGGCTGATTATATTATTTATTTTATTTGTGCCTACGTCTTTCAAATTTATTTGACCAAAATTTTTATTTTACTACGTAAAAATATCTAAAATAAGCACAGCTGATAAACACTACAGTCTCAACCAAAATAGAACGATTCTTTTAATTGCAAATATTCCACCAACGATGAACACTATCTTTTTGATTTGTAATAAGTATTAAATTATGATGAAAATAAACACTGTTCCTGTAATTGTATTTGTATTTTGGTTGTAATTAAAAGTAGGACACTATAATTTCCACCCAACTTAATTATATAGTGTATAGATGAAGATTACCTGTATGCTGTATACTTATAAGTGCATTTCATCAGGCTTCTATATCTAACTGATGAATATCTTTCGATATAAAACGTAAATAATACAAATTTTCACTTCATCTTTTCATATAAAGTGTTTATAGTTTGTTGTTAATCATTTTAAGGTTAGAAACTGTGTCTGTTATACCTGCGTACGGCGGCCTAATTCAGCGTACGGTATTATAAGCGATGCAGTAATACATCAGCAAAATAAGTTTGGCAAGCACGCACTGTATTCTCATAAGGCCCATACTGCACTTGGAGGTATATGAACGCTCTAATGTTCAGATAGCAGTGACATCAACCATTACCTTTGGTCTTCCACTTAACCCGTTACATATACAGAAGCGTATAATATTTGTTCATTTGAACGAAAGACACTAACCTGAAAAATCAAAATATCCTCTACTGTTTATATCGGTGTGTACTTGAAATAAATTAATGAATTATTGGTATTGATTTTAAATGAGATTGAAATGCACATGAGAATTTAACTAGAAATCACGAACTTGACGGGCAAAGTGTGATGAATATTCATTTAAAATTGCTTTGAACTGATATTTTTAAGCGACTCCTAGATTCCAATGATTAGGACATAGGTATAAAGATTTAATTTAATCTTTTCGTAGGCACCTTCGGTTTTTTCAAAAATTATTGTTGTGATCGCGTATCATCAGCATATACGTGTAACTTATTTTTATACTTATTTCATAGATATGTGAGTATGAAAGTAGCGGATACAGTGGCGGACTGGGCCCGCGGGCAACCGGGAAAGTGCCCGGTGGGCCGCTGTACTTTGGGCCGACGCCGGTGCGGCCGTACGGTGTCGTGTGTCGTCTACCGTAGGGCCGTAACTTGTTAACGATAAAATTCAGTCTTGAAGGCAGACAGGCAGTCTACGACATTTTATACTTAATACTATACTTCAAAGTAAGACTAATTTAACGTATTTCAATTTCCGGAATTTGTGTGTTTTCCGTTTGCACCAGCAAATTTAAGCCGAGCTTAACCTAATAGTCTGGATGCGAAACTGGGATTTTTGGCTTAACCTGGAAGTGAAGTACGGTGAAGGTTTTTTGATGGTTTTTAGTTCGTAAAGATGTCTACTTTGAGAATCCGTTTGATGCCACCTTGCCATCTCTTGAGCATTTTGAGAAATTCAAGAGGCGGCCAAAAAAGGGGCTAAAAATACAAAAATGAAAATTTTAAAAAGTATGGGCATATAGCACATTGATTTTAGGGTTTTCGAACCTTCTGAATTCAAATTTGCTGTTAAAAATATTTTTGGGGGCGTTTTGGTGGAGTGGGTGGTGTTTTTGGGGTGTTGATTTTTGTATTCTTTCAATATTAACGAGTCGTACGTCCATTTATATGTTTTTATGAATAAGAATCTCGAATTTCAGATCAAAATAGGTACTAAAACAGAAACTCCTATTTGTTAATTCTTTGGGGGGGGGGGGCTGCTTGAGGGGGGAATCTGGAACTACTGAATAAAATAAAAAAAAAGTAAATAAATAAATATATTAACTCAAACTAAAATACATTACTTACAGATATATTACGTTTTTAAACAAAAAAATAACAAGCAAAAAAAATATTGCAGATAAACGTAAATTTACTCGTTGTCCGATTCTTCGTGTGTGGGATGGGGATATTTAAGTAAGGGTATTGGAGTAAATGGTACACTTTTTAACTCTAAATTTGGACGCTATCTTGTATATCTTTCTAGGATTTATTCAAAAATCATATTTTGACATCAAAATTGTAATCTCCATCCCAAAAAACCTATAAAAAGACGTATCGCACTTGTTATAATTATTATCTTTTTATTAAAATGATGTCGTTGTGCAGCGCGCGTTTTATGTTATTCACTACATTTGTAATCGATTTTGGAATAAGTGCAAATGCTTTAAAATGCTATTTTAGGGGGTTACTTTGGAGAAAAATTTCGGGTATAACCAACCCCCCGTTATGTGGCCGGTGCTGTTCGGTTGCCCGGGCCAGTTCAATTTGCCAGTCCGCCACTGAGCGGATATATGAAAAACAAAACGAAAAAATTCAAGATGGTGGCGATACGCTAATAAAAATGAGATTTGAGAGGTGTTATGGCGATTTTCTCCCTTCTTTAGACCCAAATAGTAGAAAAAAAAAGTTCATTTCCAACCAAAACTTAAAAAATGTGCTACTCGTTCTTAATTTGAGATAGAATGTGTGCACTTCTTTTTTTGGCCTTATATTCAACGCGTCGTGTTTTAATTTGTGTGTATTCGTCTGTTGTAATAATAATCAGTTTTGTTTCCTTTAACATTTCCTTATGTTTCCGTTGTCCCATTATTTTAACACAACTTCCATTAATTTTTGAAATCAACCAATCATTCTCGTTACAGAACACCTGATTCTGGTCTACAATCGTATGATTTTCACATTAAACCATACGATTGTAGACCGCCATCAGATGTACTGTTACCGGCATTCTCTCCTGGCTAGCACAATACGTATTTATATTGCGATTTGTTACTATCGTTATACAATAAGGAAATTGGCCACAAAGGCCGATTTGTCTTAACTACAATATTCATTCGCACTAACTCTGGAAACTTCTAACTCTATTGTAATAAATGTGCTTCTAAACTTTGGTTGGCTATACTCGCATATACTTTGCACAAATTTCCATAAAACAATCAGTATGTTCCGAGCATTCAATGTCTATTAATACTAAATGAATGACGCATTTTGTAACTACATAAAGCCACTCTATGAGTTAAGTTGGCGTACATTTACCGGATGTAATTTATAATTGCCAAATGGAATTGGGTATTATAGATCATTACATGTAGCAGATTACATTAAAATATTAATGTTAACGATAGCTTTCAATGAAGAATTGCTATTTAAATGACTGTTCTGTTTATTAAATTCATTGTGATAATAATGCACTGACACAATTTTCTTCTATTTATTTGTTTTCAGGCACTCCCCAAGGTACGTAGTTGATTTTCACTATTTGTTCTTCTCTTTAATCCTTTGTTTTTAATCAGTTGTAGTAAAAACTTCCATACATCTTAAGAGTTTCTATATCCCTTTTACGTAGAGATTAGTTCCCCAGTAAAACGTTGTAAAATTATAATATTCCTACCATTATGCTTTTACATCTTTACAGACGGACATAAAATATGCTAGCACGTACGTAGACCGGAAAAAACTAGTTTAACGAAAACAGTTTTAAAGGCAATAAAATTACACAATTAAAGTTTTACGATACCTACAAATTTTCACGTACACTAGCCGATGGGAAAAATTAGATTTTGTCCATTTGCTCGCACACCAGTCCCTAGGGGTGCATGCAAAAATATGTACACGTTTATTGTACAAGTATAACCGTTGTCGATATTTACACCGCAAGTTCAGCGAAAATTGTTACCGAAATTAATTTAAAAAGCGTAACTTCCCCGTATTGGGCCGCAAATTTGCATGAGTTTAATTCACCTTTCAGTTCAAAATGTGACGCAAATCCAGATATACGTCAACAAAATTCGCTTGCGACGCCCTTTTTATATACTTATTGAGCAACAGGCTGCGTTTCTTGGTGAGAGGCCACTCGAAATCCCTTTAGTGGAGTGAGTACTTCATCAATTAAAAGAAGTGCATTTGAAAAGGCGTACAAAAAATGATACCTACCTTTGGAGGAGCATGTTTTAATTACAATGTGTGATTTTATACGTCATTCTATAGGAAAACAACGCAATGTACCGCATAATTATTTCAAGATTCAGACGCGCGCTTTTAATTAAAGCATACATTTTCTCTTTGGGGTAAAAAATGTTTATTCTAAACGACCAACCTTTGTTGTTTACTTCGTTAAACAAATTTTTGCCACTCGAAAGTCGATCTCATTAAAATGAACTGTGGTTCTGAGGATGCTACAATTTTGATTGTTTCGAGAAACGTTCACCATCTTATTCTCTATCAAAGATACCGAAAAGACAGATGAAACTTTAGAAGTTGCAAAATCGAGTCTCATTCTATGTGATCGGCAATTTCGGTCATCACTTTAAGAAAATAAGTCGAGTAATAAGTATAGTTCAACACCGACATTGTGTCGAATATTATGCTAGATTTTTATAGTCCAGTCAAAATAGGAAAATCAGAGAAACTAAAAATACTAGTTCCAATTTTTTCAGAAATGTGTAGGGAGAGGTTCCCTGAACAAGAAAAAATAAAGTCCCTCCAAATTCCGGTGCCGCTGGGGGAAGGAGGGCGCTAAAGCGTTCAGTTTTCGAAAAAATGTATATAACCAAACAAATAGAAAATTTAATAAGCTTTCATTTTGTACTGAAGAACTTTTTCAGTGTAACGCACCATTTTCGAGTTAAAAGCGAAAAACTGAAAAATGGGTCGTTTAAAGCCCCCCATTCGGCGAAATATACAAGTTATAATCTTGTGCAACATTAATTGTCGACAGTTGAAAATTATATGCTTTTGTACTATTTATTTTCGAGCACTAAATTAAGTGGCCCTAGTTTTAGTTATCATACTGAGGGTTTTATCTTTGGAGACTTCATCAAATAGTGAATGCTCCACCCTTGACGATCCCTCCTCATAGGTCTCATAGTGTGGAGGCTAGCAGGTCGAAACCTTGCTGTAGTAGAACAGGAACAATTCTATCCATCCCTGGGAATTTATACGAATGGAAAGTCTTCACTTCCCACCAAAACACACTCTCCTCTGTTCCCCTCACAGGTGGTTCCACAGTAAATGGTTCGCCCACGTCATTTTGCGAGGGTCTTCGATGATCCCGAAAGGTGTGAATGAAGCAAAACCTCCAAGGTCTCCTTTGCGGCCTCTGTATAACCCCCTCAATTTTTTTCAACGAACCGATTCGGCTGCCTCTTCGCATTACATGCTTGTCACCTCCTCTGCCTCCACCTTCGTCTTGGAGAGTTTGTGCGTCACGCAGATGAAGTCCCCATAGGGTCCCAGTTCAGTCTACCGATATTTCATCTGCTCTGCGCATGTGATGAACGGCCTTCCCCCCCGTCTGTGAATGGGCGAAACCTCCTCAATGAGAAAAGCGTCGACTCTGTCAGGGATCCAAGTTTTGATGCGCCTTGTCTTCCCTTTCGACAACGTTCCTTCCCGGTCTTCATGGACAAAAGCCATTCTGAAGCTTGCAGCTGCTTCGCTACACGTTCTGGTATCCTTTACGGTTCCAGTTTTTGCCCTTTTCGAGATACTTCCGTCGGGAATGCTGCCAATAGACCGGTGTCGCTTTCTCCTTCCAGTCTTCAGTGCAGCCTCGATAGGAGCATTGCCTGGTTGCTTATAGCTCTTAGATTACCCCACTTTATCAGATGAGAGGCCAGGTTGCCTAGAGTCCCCTGGTTTCTGCCTCATCTTTTTTAGCTTCTGGCGCGCTACTCCGGAAAGTTTTTTAGGCTCTGCAGTACCAGGTGTTCCGGGAGTGTTTTTTTGTTTTTCTTGGTCCATATGAGTCCGATGACTATGAGAGAAAGAAACGCACACGTCGGGCCCCCTGCACACGTGTGAGGCGACTACAGCCTTCCTGAGGTTGTGTCCTCTTGGTTCGGGCGATAAAGCCGAGACCCCCTCCACCATCCTGTGCTCTCCGCGTTAGCGCATGGTATGACGCCCATCTACCACATGTCGGCACCGTTAACCCCTTGGCCACGATACGACAGCCGGGCGGGGTAGGTGGTCCATTTCTTCGGATTATTTTTTCCTATATTCAGCTTCAAACTGTTTGTATTCGTTTTTTTGCTTTTCAAAAACCTTTTTTTTTAGTTTTCCGATGGTTTTCTATTTTTGCAAGTTTTCTGGAACTTAAAGTACTTCGGATCCCTCTTCCGATATTTCTAACGTTTTGTGCCTTGCGTTTCCAAGTCCAAATTTTCGATGGTTCGAATTCGTCCGACCTTTCAAATTCTTTAACCTTCAGGTTCTTTAGATGTTTCAAAATTCATCAATTCTTCATATTCTTCCGGTTCTTCAGTTTCAGATTCTGTGGATTCTTCAATTGCATCCCTTCAAGTCTTTCAGACAGAATTACTTTTCTTAGTTTCACCCCAGATTCACATTAAATCCTCCAGATTATAAATGCTTTTCTGATTTTCTCACTATCTTCCAATCCTTACGATTTTCCTCGAAATCTTCTAATTCCTCAAACTCTTAAGGTATCTAATGCCCTAATTAATTGCAAAACCTTCGAATAATTTCGATTCTTTACACTCGAAGAACGATGTGGATTCTAGACTCTCCCAATCACTCCAAATCTTTTGCCTACGATTAGTTTGATAAAAAAAAGTGTGTCCGTTTGCTAGATGGGAATATCAGTGTGAGAATGGCTTTACTTTTGGTAATTGCTCGCACAAAATTGTAATTTGTAGCAGGTACCAACAAAGGTAAATTGATCAACTAGTTGATGGGTATCAAATTTCTAACTCTCCGCAATAAGAACAAAATTAAATGAAACAACAAACAAATTTTGTGCCCCTCAACAATAAATATCATACAATTCAATTGAGATAAAATTATTTTAGGCAAAACTAGTAAAAATTTTATTTTTAAAATTGACTCTTTTTACCATCTTGTTGCACTGAGCAGCACAAAATGTTTATTTATATGTATAGCACAAAATTATAACTAAATGTATTAAACTGGATTTGTACTGCCAATTACATAAGTAAGTAAATGCCATTTCAATGGACGTATTGAAGTCAATTTTGCGATAATCTCGTGACAATTGACACCAAAAGCAGATCCCCAAAGTAGCTCATGATCAGATAACAATTGTCACAATTGTTAGAACTATACTCTTTTTTTTAAGAAAGTGCTTGGGTTTCAAACAAACATATGATTAATAAACGCCATAGCATAATCTAACTGAAAAATCACACAGATACAACTAAACATAATTACATCGCCTGCAAAAACCTTCTTGTAATTCGTGCATTCCCCAGATCTATAAAAATGTAAGCACAAAATACTAGGTTGAATTAACAATTTACTCATTTCTTGCGAACCCTGTGAGCAGGAACGGGTGGTGTACGCGAATTCAATTTAAGCGGCCGTCTTAAAATGTTCCATAGGAGAATTGAAAATTGAAAAGCATCCTTGATTACGCACAATTTTATAATGAAAAAACCTGTCGATGAATTTGAAGATGTTTTATTTAAATGAACGAAATTTCATGGTTCAGTTGAGTTAAACTCATGCAAGTTGCCATCACCATACCACATTATGGGGACAAATTACCGTATCACGCACCGTACATAAACACAATTTGAAAAACTACTGATAGTACGACTTTTCACACGCACTTCCAAAATACTAGCTTAGATTTAGACCTCGTATTCTAAAATTTATCTTTATAAAATTTCCAAAACATCATAAAGAAAATCCAACGTGTGGGCAACAGCACAAAGATATCATAAAGCAACTTCTTGATTCCAGTATGTAAACAAATATTTCGTTTAATATTTATAAATTAATTCGCTTTTTGCTTCAACCTTTTATAATACTTAGTAAAGGCTTTTGTAGTTTCGTTAGTTTCGGCGCTTTTATAAAGGCTATAATGATAATTATTGCTTGGTCGAAAATTTTCTCTCATTAGATGATTGGTAGTTGCTCGTAACAAAAATGTGCACATTGCAGTTGAACCGATTTAGATAAGCCGTTGTTCGTTCGTTACTGTTTAATGTTTAAATAAATAGCATCAATGAGGTACGATACCGAGCGTAATGGAGTCTACAGACCGACCGACGATGGGGTTGTTTGTTTTAATCGCCGCATTCGTGAATTTCAAAGTTAACGAAGTTAATATACAGGCTTTTAATCTCACAATTTTCAAATACTAGCCATATTTTCTGAAAGGGTTGCGGCTACGCGGATTTCGATAAATGCGTGTTTATGAATAATAATGCCAATGCGGGCAGGGATATTAAATCAACCTACGCTACAAACTAAAGGAAACTCTTTTGTAAAGGGTTGTATGTGCCGTTGGCTCATAAAATGGAGTGCGTTTTGTCCTTTTTAAAATATCATTTCTGTTTCATTCCCGGATTAATACACGTGCTTTTATAATAGGAACTCGTGGATCTAGACATTTTCGTCATTAACTATAAGTACTATAAATCAACGAGGTTTCCGTTTACCTGCGACCATGAAAGGCTAGGAAAACTATGTTTCGACCAAACTTTGAACTATTTCCATTTCAATGTGATGAATGTTCTAGTGACAGCGGTCAGTACATTTAAGGTCTTGGCATTTAATGATGCACTTTGCATACTTGGCGTTAAACGTTTCTAAACTGACACTCACTTTAGTTCTCCCGATTTCACACAGTTTGTTATTTATGATGATAAAATCAACTGTAGGTAGGCGCTTCCATAAGATCACAGATGGAAATTGTGATAATATTCAGACAGTTAACAAGTGAGTGAAAAGAGACTCTCTCATTCGGAAAAATGCGCACTGCTTGAAAGTGCACGCTTTTCGTCGAAATGCAACAAGAAGTGCATAATTCACCTTCCGGTCGCTAAAGGACATTTTGTAAATGGTAGCTAAATAGAAAAGGGGTGCTAAAAGTAAATGCATAAAGAAATTCAATTTTAGAATATTTACCACCGCACCGCCAATTGCACGTAATAGGGGCACCGTTTAAAGTAAAACAATGTACTTATTATTAAACGGTGGTATTCAGAAATTTTCAGAAACGGACAACTTGACAAACGTGGGAAACATACATTCTTTTCTGTGAATTAAAAGCGTAAAAATTGAAAAAATTTAGCTTTGTCGTGTAGGGCCCATAGAGACCACCTCAAATGAAAAAAAAAGTGTTTTTAAGCACGCATTACCTCCATTGAAATGAACTTGCCTTTTTCGGCATTTCCAGAAAAGAAGGAACTGCTTAATACATTTGAGTAAATGTCACGCATCCGGACACTTTCAACCCTTAATGGATCTACAAAGAATCAAACGTGATTCGTCTACATGCGTTGAAAAAGTAAACGATTTCGAAAAACTTCCTATTTGTGAATAAGGATTTATATCAGTAAAACGTCAGAATATTTTTGGTGGCCCCCCACACAACAGTACTTTTTCCAATTTGAGGAATTGATGCTTTGTATTAGTACATCGAAAACGGCTTATCTAAACTTAATTCAATATTCCAATTACTAAAAGAGTAAAAAGTCTAGCGTGCTAAAAGGTATAGGTGCTAAACGGCGATAAGCAAACACAAATAAATAACAATATTTTATAAACGTTTAAGATTTGACTTACTGCACGAGAGCCCGAATGCAGATGCGAAAGTTGATATACCACAATTCTACAGGCCGAATAAGACAAACAAAGGGGGAAGTTTTTATATAGCCCGGCGCGGGGGTTCGAAAATGATTCTCGAACGTTTTGTGATACCTGCACGCAAAATATTTACACGACATTTTAGTGTCGAAGTTTGCCACAAATCTTATTAAAAATTGACTCCTAATGTTTAATAAGTTTTTTGACGTCATATATGCGCATTGCGTGTCGTGCTGGTATAAACTGGAAAAGAGAGAAAGTTACGTTTTTCTCCTTATAGTAATGGCATATTATTCTCCTTATACTTTTAGTACCTACTTTTAGATTTATCTGAATTTTGTAAGGTAGTTGAAGTAGGTCTTTTTTTCGTCGCATGTTTACGCCTGTATTCCAATTACCATTTTGATTTATTATTTTCACTGTAGGTATACCTACCCAATGCGAGTTGATATCCAATTTTTAAAGGAAAATGCCTTTTATGAATTGTTTCATATATTATGTAGTTGTGAAGCTTTCGTAAATGAATTCTGCTTTGCCGTTTCCTGCAAGTCGACTAGAGAGCATGTTACAAATTTGGTGCATTATGTGTCGTAACAGTAACTTAGTAACTAAATGCGGTTTAGAAGTAAATAAGGTAAAATCAGTTTCAAATTTGAAACAATTTTAAGAATTCTAACAGATCCTTAAGTTTCAAAGACCATAATTACTTATAACCCAACTTGGGTCCCTTTAATTTCTATACTGAGATCTTATACACTTTCCTCATTGTACGTGTACTACGAACAGACTTATCAATGTATGGACTAACAGAAAGGTCAACCTTTTAAAGACGAAGTGCTAGTCAATTTCCTTTGTGATTGTATTGTGCACCTATCAATTATTTGTCGTGGAAATTCGAACTTTGTCATTGTGCTCGTTATCCGCAATGAAGTTTTAGAATGTCTCTGTTACATTAGTCTCATAGAGAGATAATCCCTACTAAATGGATTAGATTAGCAAAGATATGACTTTGTACTAATTTATAAAATGTGGTAAAAAAAATTTCTTTCGCCAGTACCGATGGTGCATCATCTACGAATTCCAAAATTATTGACCGAAAACGTATAGAAATTCAAGCAGTATAAATGATACTTTAGATATTCTAGGGATAAGCATGATATAGATGGTGACAATTTATCTTAAGTGGGATATATTTTTTTCTATTAGAGATATGAGATTAAACCGTTTCGTTCATTGCTACCATAAAACACGCATTTAAATAAAAACTACATATGCAAAATTTATGGGAACAAGTCACTTAGTAGTTAAATAATCAAAGAAAATATGCATTTGCAAGCAAGTGTTAGTGGCTGGGGGAGCAAAACGTTTAATCAAACGTAATTTATATTTTTTATTAACAAGATTGCATATAATAAATCTAGAAAGTTAAATCTAGCGTTAAGTGACATTGCATGAATAGATATACTACTCGTATATATCGACGTTGTTAATATTCATAATTTGACTGTCGGTAGCCTATATTGTCCAAATAATGGACATTTAATCATTATCCGTCAATGGCCAACATTTAGAAAACAGAACCAGTTGCTTTAACCTCCCAGTTTAATGGACAAATTTTAAAAATATCTACTTAGGATTTGAAACAATTTGAATTTGAATTTGGATTTCGAAAAAAATCAAAATTGTGTTTGGACAAAACAACGTGCAATTCAAGAACCTCATTCTCATTTTAATTCTGATCTATTCTAGGAAAAATTTCATTATTATAGTTTTAATGTCATTAGGCCGATATGTGTCAAATAACGGCAGCGGTTGAATTTTGTAAACCGAGGCGTTATTTTTATGTATCGGCCGAATAAAATTTCAAATATAAATGTTTGCCATTACGATATTCAGCCCTGTGATGTATCAGTAACGTTAAATTTATAACGTGCAGGTTGTCTGTCAACTAATTTTTTTAATAACACTTTTTGAATTTTTTAATTTGTTTTAATTCCATTTGTCAACCTTTAATTATTAGAAAAAACTAATAATTCGACTCTTCCAGCTAAAACTGTAGTAACTCCAATTTTTCGCCTTTTGAGTTAGATATGTACTTTATACCCATCTTTTCCGTGGGAAAAATAGTACGTTAGTACCTCAGGATCGTAAAACTCAGCAACTCAAATTACACCGTTAAATTTAGTAGTATCATAGATAACAGACAACAGTATGTTGTCTGTGGTAGTATCTGTGATTCGCATACATTATCCGTCGAAGATCTTGAGTAGTTCATCATATTTTCAAGTTAATTTCCATGGAAGAATACCGTATGTTTAGTTACTACAAGTTGTATTATAAAGGTCCTTCTGGTGGATGGTATTAGTGGTATCTTGAATTACCATTATTATCGCGGTAACTGTAAGGTTACGTTTAGTGGATTGTTGAAGCCTGTCACCAGTGTATATTGTGATACGTTCCCGAAATGTGAAGATGAGAAAACCGCCCTTAAAGTTAGTCAATTAATAGAAATCCATTTTAAGTATGAACTGCCGAATATAGTTCAGTCAATTTGTACTTTATGGTTGCAAAGGGGCCGGTAGCAAATTTTATTTTTCCGGCTTGTTTAAATGGTAAAGAGAGAAAGAGAAAAAACCAAATTTGCCAATGTAACTGACGTCGGCAGAAATTTTTGTGGTCAAAAATCGACGAAAATGTTTGAGTTTTTTTAGGTTTTTCTAAAAATAACTATATTTTAATATATCGTCTTTATTCTAAAAAGAGTATAAAATAAAAACGAACGGTTCAAAATTGTTCAGAAATTAGATTGGCTGATATACCATTCCAATTGTACGATACTTCAGAGTATCCTCTAACTGATAACTTTTCCTTAAAGTTATTCCTGACACAATGAAACAATTTTTTGGAATAGCATAAGTAAACTTGATTAATTATTTATTGTCCCTCTTGAAAGGCCACATAAAATAATTTACAGCATTTAGGCGAGCCAAAGACGATTTATTATACCTCCGTTACAAAAAACCAAAATGATAAAAATGATTGGTTGATGTGCCAAAGATCGTGTATAATCTTCATTAATTATATTTGGCTCTCAACAACTCATAAAAGTGCTATCTCCTCTAGGTTTTGCATCATCATACAGATGGTACCTATTAT